GGAGTGACGTACCGGCATGGTTGCATGTGCTGCATAACTGCATATGTGCAAAATACGTGGCTACATGCTGTGCGAGTCTCATACTTATGCATCCAGCTCATCAAACTCCTGAGTGCGGGAGGAGATGAAGGAGGAGGAGCGCTGGAGAGAGGTGGCACTGAACTTTGAGATATAATTAGCTTCTGCTCTAGGTAACCCTTGCATATACTTTATTTATTTTCTGATTGCTAAAAACACTGACTCTCAGAGGTCAGCGCTCTTGGAAGTGAAAATTCCAATCACAATGCAACATACCTTGAATGGCTCAACTACTTGACACGCTACAGTTGGATCTGCTAGCTCTCCTACACACACACACTCACGCACACACACACACACACACACACACACACACACACACACACACACACACACACACACGCACACAGTCGACATGTCACAGTGTTGTATCTGCTCTGCAGTGTTCAGGTCCCCTCCATTTAATTCCCGCTGCAGTCCTGTCAAACATTTCTGAAGACAAACAAAAATTGTGTGGAGGTGAGTGAACTGTACATGTGTCTGTTCCCTCTCACCTGCTTTGAATTCACAACAGATTACTGCAGCATGTTATTTGTTCTCGCGACGCAATCCTCCTCTTTCTCAGCCAATCCTCCGTTTTTCTGCCCTTCCTCACCTATTTCTCCATCCCTCCTCTCCTGTCCTGCTTGCAATGTTTGAGACACGTAAAGCAAGTTTGGCAAAGCTGTCCCTGTTTTAATAGCTGTAATGACCGACTGACTTCATGCATCCTCCTCTTCTTTTTCTAACCCCGCTCCCCCATCCTCACCCTCTAAACCTCTGTCTTTGTCCCTCTGTGCTTCGTTCATAAGACCTCATAGCTCCATCATAAAAGAGGAAATGAAACGTCATGGGACATTGACAACGGACTTTTTCGTCAACAAAAGCACTACATATATCCAAAATGTCAACCTTTCAATGTCAAGCTATTCAGTAGTTAGTTAGAAGTTATGAAACAGATGGATTTTGAGAGAATGTCCTGATCTCAACAAACCTCCACAGGACATTGTGATACATCTCACACATCTACACACTTCTCTAGATCCCATTTTCCATTTAAAAAAGCCATTCGCTCTGCTTCCACTCTGCTGCCACTTGGACAGGAGAGATCATCACAAGGAAACAGATGGTCATGCAGGAATTGTCCCAGTGACGCCCTCCAGTGTCATTTTCCAAGGGAATGAGCAGGGATACAGTTTGACTGCCACAGGGTAACAACACGTGACCAACCGCACATAGACAAAACTGTTTAACAGATGTGTTAACAATTCAATTCAATTCAATTCAAATTAGCTTTATTGGCATGAACGTGTAACAACATTGCCAAAGCATCATACATACAACATAAGAACAATCAACCCCATACATTTCATTAAACAAGTTATTAAAGCGTAAAGTAATCAAAGCGTATGTGTGTTTGTGTTAAAAAAAAAATGAAGAAATATTAAAAATTTAAATAAAATAAGTAAATAAAACAGTAAGCGTGTGTGTGTGTGTGTGTGTGTCTGTGTGTGTGTGTGTGTTTAAAAAAAACAGTAAGCGTGTGTGTGTGTTAAAAAAATAAAAATATATTAAAAATAAAATAAATAAATAAAACAGTAAGCATGTGTGTGATTAAAAAAATAAAATAAAATAAAATAAAACAGCGTGTGTGCGTTTGTGTGTGTTAAAAAATATATATATTAAAAATAAAATAAATAAATAAAACAGTAAGTTTGTGTGTGTGTTAAAAAAATAAAAATATATTAAAATTAAAATAAATAAATAAAACAGTAAGCGTGTGTGTGTTAAAAAATAAAATATATTAAAAAATAAAAAAAATAAATAAATGAAACAGTAATGTGTGTGTGTGTATATATTAATAGACAAAAAATAATTAATTGATTAAAAAATAATAATAAAATAAAAAAAAATTAATTAAATCAGTGTCAAATGTAAAAACAAAACAATTACTAAAATATCAAACGATCAAAATAATAATAATTTGAAAATCTGTACAATTATTTGTCAGTCTGAGGTTCCACTGGTTGTCCTCACTTCATGGCATGAGGAGACATGTGTGTGTTTTATATTTGGGGCATGAGATTAGAAAGTGTAGCTCTACCTGTCCCCTGTCACACTGGGAGCAGAGTCTCTCCTCTTGTGGTAGGTTAACAACAACATGGTAACCATCAGCACATTAGTTTTGCCTTATATATGTGCGACTTGTTCAGAAAGAGTACAAATCAGAAACATATTTGATAATGGGCTCCTTTAACTCATTTTTAGCAAATATACCAACATTTTACTGGTTTCAGCTTATCAAATGTGCATGCTTGCTGGTTTTCATTAGTTTGAACTCTGGGAAATTTTGATGGACATTTTCCACTATTTTCTGACATTTTGTAGACTAAACAATGAATCAAGAAAATTGTCACGAGTAGAGCTAAAGCAATTAGTCGATGGGTTGCACAACAGGACACTATTTTGACAATAAATTAATTGTTTGATTAATTTTTCAAACAAAACTTCCCTGGACTAGATATTTCTTAATTGTGAATGTTTGCTGCCCTTCTTTGTGTTATGTGATAGTGGACAGCATATATTCAGGTTGTCAGACAAAACAAGCAACTTGATGACATCACCTAGACCAAATGGTTAATTGATTATTTGAGAAAATAATCAACAGATTGACAGTTAATAAAAAATATTGATATTTGCAGCCCTAGGAACGATGGAAAAGCATTGAGTTTTTGCTTTTTTTAAATATGACATTTTATTTAAGAAATTTCAAAATGCTTAGACACCAATGTCGTAAATTGTTATTTAGTTGTATGACTGTAACATCATCAGTAAAGAAAGTCGATTAAACAATTAGTCAGAAAATAGAAAATAAATCATTTTTGAGTATTAATGAACCATTTACGTCATTTATTAGGTAAAAATCAGAATCATTCTAACTTCAAATATGTGTTGATTTGTGTTATTATTATTATTATTATTTCAAATGCAATATCTTTGGTGTTTGTAAATGTTGGTCAGATAAAAAAAAAGCTATTTGAAGGTATCAAATTGTATGTTTCTGGATGTGTGAGAGTTATCTGCAGGGTTACACGGGGAGGCGTGTCACATGAAGTGATTTATCTGTGTGCTGTAAGTGTGAACATTCAGCTGAATGGTTTATGGGCAGCTACACTTACAGAGTATGGCCCAGTGTGTAAAGGTGAGTGTACTGAGAGTGATTTATGTTCAGCCAGGTGTTAGAGGGGGTCAAATGTAAGATGCGTTGTTGTAAGCAAAGTGGGTAAATGTGTTTCTATATCACAATGGTGAAATATGTTTGTTGTATTGCCCCTTTTGTAGTTACTGTCTTCTTGCATTTCTTACATGTTACCATGGTTTGTTATACATCTGATGTTTTGTAACCAGACCACTTACACTACTACACTACATTACTACTGACGTCGCTCCCCTTTTTTGGAAGTAACTCCTCCACCGTTGAGCTGGTAGCTTGTTACTTTCACTTTGAGCCTTGCTTGTTGTTGCACCGTGTAAAGGTATGATTACATAACATCAACAAGTCGGAATTCAGAATATTTCTGTATGCAATATGAATTTTTTTATCATATTAAAAATGATTCTGATATGATATAGCACAGCACTACTTAAGTCTGTCTTTAGTTAGAGTGTGTGCTGGATATTGCTTATGAATAATTGACTATCTTGATGCAGTGAGAAGACTTTTGATTCAGCACGCAATTAATACATTTTTCTCTCAGTATGTGCACACTGTGTACTTACTTGTTTGTTTACATATACATGTACTTATGTGTGTGCCGGTGTGTTTGTCTATAGTACACAATACACTCCTCGCTCATATGATTTGAGAAGATTTGCCCCATTTAGAGAATTCAAACTCCCACCACTCTAATCGGCTCTGGCACTGTGTAAGCTCTCCACCATGCAAGTGTCCTGAATCATTTTGATTCCAGAGCATAAGGGCAAAATTTCTAGGTTTACCACAAGGTCCAGCTAATTGACTGTCCTCCATGGTGTGGAACACTGATTCAGCACTTAACCAGCATGGCTAAATGGACCGAGGTGGAGGAGGAGGGAGATTGCTGAGAAGGACATAAAGAGAACAGAAAGGTATCTGGAATGAAGGGAAAGCAATTTTTGCAACATAATCACACAACATGTGAAATGCTTCTGTCTGAAATGTAATGTCATACTTAAAGCATGTAGGTTGACATTTTGGAAAATATACTTATTTGCTTTCTTGCTGAGAGTTAGATGAGAAGATCGATACCACTCTCTTGTCTGTACGGTAAATATGTAGCCACAGCCAGCAGCCGCTTAGCTTAGCTGGAAACAGCTAGCCTGGCTGTCCAAAGGTAACTTAAGCCCTCTAAAGCTCCCTAATTAACAAGTTATATCTCGTTAGTTTACTCCACAAAAAATTGTGAAAATGACAATTTTCTGTTTAACAATGTGTCTGATTATTTCATCCCTCTGAGCAAGCTCAGATTTTGTACACAGCCAGGCTAGCTGGCTGTTTCCAGTGTTCATGCTAAACTAAGCTAACCACCTGCTTGCTGTTGCTACATATTTACCATACAGACATGAGAGTGGTATCAATCCTCTCATCTAACTCTTAGCAGAAGAAAGTGAATATGTGTATTACGCAAAATGTTGAACTATCCATTTAACAGTAAGACCGGGAAAGCTTCTCAAATTCAACTCTCTTTATTTTTTTGATCCGCCACGGACTTAAACTGAACGATGACAGCAGGCCATTACCACCCAGAAGACTTTAACTAATGCTACCACTAAGAGAGACTATGTATTCACAATACATATTGTATTGTAAATCCAAATTAAACACTGCTTTTTTTCTGTTTTTACCCCTTTAAAGGTCTACTAACTTACTTCACACAAAGAGCATGTATCTGCCCTTGTTATGAGACATCAAGCATTTATCCAGTAAAGTATCGCCAACAGACAGCACTCAAGTTACAAGGCAGCAAACAGGGACTGGGACGTCCGAGGATGCAAACACAACATGGCCTTGTCAGGGAAAATTGAAACAGAACACACGATACATTTAACAATTGCAGGCACAGGAAAGGCAGGTTGATTAATTATTACACCCCTGTCTACTGCTTGAGGTAAGCAGTTTACCTTAATAAACTATGTGAGTACTTAAGAATATCTCCCGCTTTTTTTCTCTCAAGACAGGTTTGGTGCTTTAGCCATTTTCTGGTGTAAGTGAATTGTTATTCAAGTATTCTCATCCTCTCAACAGTTCTGGAAGAATAGATTTGCAACCAGCGAATGAAATTAAGGCCTTCTTTCCCTCTCTTTGCTATTTTCAGATGCAGCCCACAGGGAAAGGAACAAGAATGGAAGTTGGAAATAGGCCTTTGAGCGCAGCCGGGGTTTGAATGGAAACAACTTGGAAGCACAAATACCAAACCCAACTGCTGAAAGTAAAAGTTTAATTCAATGAACTTTAGGCCTTTTCAGTTCACAAAAGAGCACCATTAAAGTAATGATAAATCATCTCGATTTCACATCATCGTTCACACCGGGACACTGGTGAAGGAAGCCAAAGCTTTGAGGTTCAATCAGGGTGTTTTTACACAAGGAGAAGGATGTCATTGTTGCAGATTTACAGTGAGATGCAACTTTTTCTTTTAAGATGCAGGTAATGATAGTGGTGGTCGTTTTAACTTTAACTCTCAACAGATAACAAAGGAATCCAGGGTGTGCTGTGATTGGCTGAGACCTACACAAACAAGTCACCCCACCACAGTTCCCATTAAGCTCTGACTAGATTTGGGAGGTAGGTATAGGTACATGGAACGACGTGGCTTCACAAAACTAATGCAAAAAAATCTCACAAGACTATTCAAAATTAGAAGTGACCTAGTATAGTAAAAAATATATATATATATATATAATATATAGTAAAAATAAGGGTCTTGATACTGGTAAAAATCAAAAGAGGACAGCATGCTTTATTGAAACTGAAAATGTAAGACCTTACCGACACAAGTGGCTATTTGGAAACCATACTATTGTCTTTCCAAACAGAGCTCATTGTCTCTGTCACAAGGTCTTCTCCCCTAGAAATGTGATGCCATGTCCCTGGCAAAACTGGTAATGTCACCCAAACCTTCTTCCAATCTTCTTTTCCGCCCCAACATCATATCTATACATAAACTAACAAGCCTATCAATAGATTTTTTATTGCCTGTCCAGCACAGTGATTTTCTACCCGGAAACGACCTGTTCTGAGGCAGTCCGGCATTGTGGCAGGTCACATTTGTGTTTATGACAGCATTGTGCGCTCCAGCACTGAACACTGTGGACAAGAACAGCAAACAATGAACCACAAGACATGACCTTCAGGGAGGGACTGGACACATCACTGCGCCGACAAAATTAATCAAATACAGGCACACAAAGTCCGATTTGGAGGGGGCAAAAGGGGCATCTTGTACATGCTGAGCTACAAATGTTGCTTTGTTAGGAGATTGCTGACAAAGACAACTGTGCCCTTCTGGTGCAAAACTGAAGTGACCAAAACACAGCTAAATCTCTGGGACTACATTATAAGACAACATCCAGAGAGCATGCAGTGGATTTTATAAGGTAGAAAATGTTTCAGGTGGTCAAAGTGTTTTTTTTTAAAGAAGACAGTACTAAATTTTGCATCTCATATTTCTATTTCTGCAAGAATTTACACTTTAATGAATTTAATGAACAGTGTGTCTCATGCTTTCAACTTAACCTCTTTATACAGACTTTTGATGTCCACAGATTGACTGGTTTATACCTAATTAAAGCTTTTTTCTTTATATGTGTGTATATAACTTACACCTGACAAATTAACAACACTGAAACCTTCAATATTCCTTATTCATATTCTTCTTCATCCTTAGTACTTGTACTATTTCGTTTTTACAAAAGTTCCTGTATCTTAAGAGCTATTTTCTACGACCATCAAATAACGTCTTCTTCGTCTTGGTTTAACACCACATATTTAACATGCTGAGTGACAACTGAATTACATCAAATTAGATTACCTAATAAAACACTGACAAAACAATAACCGCAGTTCATCAATGCCACTGGATCCTTGGTTAATCAATTAGGATCATTGCCATTCAGGCAGATTAGAGTTTAAAACAGTAAGTTTGAAAATGGGCCACCATCAAAATCTCTCAAACTTGATTTAACAGCTCCATGTCGTCTTAGCTGCACCGCGAAATCTATGTCAACCAGGTACGGATCAATAAAAAAATCAGATGCACATCGTATTGTATAACACCTTATCAAACAGACCCATACACAACCATAAATTTTGGCAATGGGTTAACAGTCATGTTGCCATCCAATAGAGCAGAATAAATCCCTCATATTCGCATCCTCGCATTGTCATATTTAAAGAGGTGATATAGAAAGAGAAAATGGCTTTTAAAACAAACAAAAAGATAATCAATTGATTATCAATCAATAGGCAGGCAGCACGGCCGGGGTAGGAAGATTGGATGGCTCAAGCCTTCACAGATAATCGAAGATGCTAAGAGAAGGGTCCCCACCCCCATCAAGCAACGTCTCTCTCTCTCTCTCTCTGTAGTTGTCACCTCTTCCCTGTTTATCTTGATACCCCCCCTTTTCCTCCTCTTCGTCTTCCTCATTCTCTCTCTGTGTGCCTCTCAGGCTCCCAGTGAGTCCCTTTTCCCTCTATTTCTCTCCAACCATCTCCCCAATCTCCATTTCCCTCGCTCTGTCTATCCCTTTCACTCACCCCCCTCCACCTCCACCTCTTTTCTATTCCTCCAGTGCTCCCCCTCCTCTCTCCCGTGTCTACTGCAGCAGAAAAGCCAGCACAGACACCAGCATGCGTGTGTTTGTACATGTGTGTGCCACCACGGTAGATCCGCGAGCGAGCCTCACACGATCATGAGCAACGAAGGAGGTGAGGGGTTTTTTTTCAAAGCACCGCATAAGTGTCGAACGTTCTGATCGAAACATTGATTGCTGATGCGTTACATCACAGCCGTGCAAACAAAAACCCCTTAAATCATTAGAGTAATGTCTCTCCTCCTGTCTCCCTTTATTTCCTCTCATCTCCCTCTCCTTCCCTCTGTCTCTCTCTCATCTGTCTCATTGTATTTCCACATCAGCATCTCATATTTTTTTTCTGTCCTAGCCTCTCCCTCCATCTTTTCTCTTCACATATAATTTGCATCTCTCAGGAGCAACAGACCAAAAGGCTCTGCCACGTTGGACAGGATACTTTTAGAAAGAGCGAGGGTGGAAAAAATGAGCGATCTGGGTCACAACGCTGTTTGACGTATAGCGCCGGCATATTAGACTTACACAGAGAGAAATGGGGCTGCATTCACCCACAAATAGAGCCAGTTTTGTGCAGCCACTGAAATGAATCCCACCTACTACCTGCTCTGTACTCTGCACAACCCCAACATGGTGTCGCACACACCACCATCTGCAACCATCACACTCAATCAATGTTAGCTTTTGTATGATTCATGAGATCTTGGTCACTGTAACTAGTGCATGTGGTGTAAAACTGTACATTATATAATATACAGCATTCTAGCAGCTAGGCAGCAGCTACAGTAGCTTGAATCCAAGGTATGGCAATGCCGCAAATGCTGCCTCCTCTTGCTGTATTATCATTCAGAATTCAGCACCAAATACCATGCACATTTGAAGCCTATGTTTTTGCCTCACTCTTCTCATATCTAGGATGTGATCTGAAATATCCATACCCTGAAGCCGTCTCCCTCTCATGCAACATTTGGACATTCTGTAAAGAACTAGCCCACTGGGAGCTGTTTTGTTGCAATGAGTAGAGGTAGAGAGGGGTGGGATAGTAAGAAATCAATCCGATTGGGATGAGAGTGACATTTAGAGAAGCACTTCCTGCCTGATCCCGAGTCCAGAGAGGCGGATCGGGTGGCCTGAACCAGACTGTCTGTCACAGCCCGGCACTTTCTGCTTCCTTTGGAGGGAACTGAATCTGGGTATCTAGAGCAATACCTGGTTTTGGGTTAGGGTTAGGGTTATGGTTTTGCATGTGCACCTACAGTGTGCATGCTTTCACAATATCTATGGGCCCTCATATACTAATAAAATTTACAGAAAGGGTGCAAAACAAGGATGATCAAACTGTATCACAGGATATAAAAAAAAACAATGCAAATCAAAGCAGCTGTGATCAAGCAGCTGGATTTGTCTGTAACAGGAGGGCCTGAGAAAATAAGAACCACAAATCAACTCTGTTTTCATGTACCAACGATCAAAAACACAGTCAGAAGTACTTGTTACTCATACACCTGTATGATCAAATACCACCAAACGTTTGCTTTTAAGAAGTAAACCATTAACTATTTACATGCAAACAATAAAAGGTATTCCAACATGGGAGTAAGTTATGCATAACAGTCAAGAAGATCCGTGCGTAAAAGGCATGTAGCATTCAACTGGGACAGGGGGGACTGGCAAAAAAAAAACAACCCAGCAGACTGTAGAACTACCAAGGGCAAATGTGGGGAAAGACATGCACTTCAACACTGACGATTCGGCGTCGCATGAGCCTCCTCAGTGCGGTGCTACAATAAATAAGACTAACGCGAAATTGATGTCGTAAACGGACAAATATGACCTAATGAAGGCGTTTGGATGCAGGAAACGCAGCGTTCGGAGAGATGTATGTGTTAAACCTGCTCGAGTAGCAGAATACTGCGATAGAAATTACGATAGCAATAAAAACGGCAGTATGAGTCCAGCTCGTCTGAAGCGTGCAATATATTAAGACACGGAAGTGATGTGTTTGACAAAAACATTGGTTATTTTCACCTAGCACCCATCTACCATAATACCATGGGCTATTATTTTCCATTTTCCTATGCTATCAACATAAATTATTCAATATCAGGCCTAAGTCTATATCCTGCCATTTAACACAAGCTGTACAGCCAGGGAGGACACACATACCAACAGTCAGCCTGCAGTTAATTATGAGGGGCTGATTTATCAGCACTGATAATGTGGACAGAACATTTAAAAAACAAAGTTTTTAAAACTTATCATGACTCAAGCAGTGCTCTGATATATCACGAGGCAGAATATGCAACAGTATAGAAACAAGTTGCCCACCCCACCAGGAGAGACATGGGTAACTCACCCGGGCATATTTGGAAGAATACGGGTCTTCAAACAGTGCCCATATTCTGGGCTGCCAGGTTTTCCACCAGCCCGCTTTCCTCGCGTCCTCCTGCATGCACAGTCTTTTCAAGTCCCCATCCGCACCGCCCAGAGCCGGGTCGTCGTCCGGCGCGTCCGGTTCTGGAGTCTCGAAGCTGTCCAGCGCCTCCTCCGCATCCCGGTGCTGCCTGTAATTCATCCAGCAACACGCCTCCACGTCCGTCTCATCGATGCCCCAGAAGGCCAGCTCCTCTTCGAACAGAGGTCCGCACACATCGTTGGGACAGTGCAACTTCCCGGTGCGGTAATAGTTGAGGATG